ACACACCCTGACATCCTCTCTGACCCCGACTGCTTCTTCTCTCCCTGCCAGGGCTGCTGCTCTCTTTTATATGGGACATTACGTGTTCCATGGTTACAGTTTTTCCCCAATGCCTATTACCTATATTAAATGGTGCTTTTCTACTCTAAACCAGTCTGTGAGTGCCAACATCACCAAGAACATGGAGGGAAGGAAGAAGAAAGAGGGAGGACAGGGCAGGCTCAGATCCCTCCATCTTAAAACCTCTGACCCCCATGTACAAAACCAAACCCCCCTGTACAGCACTCAGAAATTCTTCCCTCTACTTTGTGACTACTTCTACTCTAATATCTAAACTTTTGTGACTTCTTGTTCTTCCTGCAAAGTTGGTAAATCATTCCATGGTTCAAACCCAAAATCACAGCTGTTTCCAGCTGCCTGCCAGGGTCCCAAATGCATCTGACCTGGACCCGGAACATCCAAAAATGTCTGAGGGACATTTTGAGTTCCGACACCAGGGTACTGAAAGACAGAATCCAGCCTCAGCCCACAGCTCCTGTGCTCGGCAGCTCCAGCAGATCAAACACAAACCTGGCATCCCACACCATTCCCCACTCTGCTGCTGACTGGTTTTGCACCTGTGTCCTCCACATTCACATTCAGGGATGCTCTCCTGGTCCCTCGCAGGGTGGAGCCAGGATTGCTCAGTGTGCGCTTGCACTCCGCAGTTTCCCTGACAAGTTCTCACTCTGTTGCCCATTATTATTATTATTCCCTCCTACCCTGCGCCTCTTGCAGGTGCCTGCCTGGGCTTACAGGCACTGGATGGAATTCAAAAGCTCTTTCCTCTTTTTCCTGTTTCACAGCAAGATGAATTCTGCAGCAGTGTCACCCAAATGGACACCACCCAGTATTTAGTGTACCAATACAGGAATAAGATGAAAACTTGGAGACTCCCTGTAATTTTCCCCACTAATCCCTGTCCCAGGGGAGCAGCTCTTGGCCAACACCGGCTAATGTAGATAATAGATAATGTTTTATCTATCTCCTCACTCCTGAGCCCTCAGTCACCACTGACAAACTATTTCTTCTCCCTTGGTTCTCACAGCTTCATCCTACTCTCCTATTCTCTTGACCCATCTTTTCTCTTCTCAGTGGGATCCTCATGAAGCTTCAACAATGTCCTATTAACACCTCTGCCATCCCCAATCCTCTGGTTTAGCTCCTTTATAACAATTATACTGAGATGCACCTTTCTCCAGCCATCTTCTCCAATCCCAGTATTTGCAATTTCCTTCTTAAGGCATCTTTGGCCTTAACATGGCCAATACTGTATTTCTGATTTTTTTCTCCACACCATCCTACCTATTCCCTTAATGATTCATTCTGCTACCATTTTTCATATCACCTGCCGTTCATCCAGATTTATGAAAATTACAGCACATCTTTTCTGGTGATATTTTCAAATTCCTCTTTTTTTTTCCTCTTCCTGAGGGGCTGATGCTTTATCTCAGCATTACTGATCCTCCCTCTTTTGTCCTCCCCCTCCTACGCTCCTTGCAAACAAACCTGCTGAGACCATCCTGCCTTGCCCAGCAATTCCACTGCTGCTTTTCTTTGACCTCACACATTCGGGCAGTTTGTGCATCTGCCCTCCTTTTCCCCAAAATCTTCCCTTGTCCCCCAAAACACTCGCTGACCTGTGCAAAAAGGTTGTGCTTTTCTTCTGCAAAGGACTCTTTATAAAATGTTAGTAGGAAATCAGCCAGTCAATACCGGTGCGAGGGGCAGCTAGGAATAATCCTCGCTTTCGGCTGGCAGGGATGCAAACACACTTTATCCGTGTCCTCTTCCTCCCACCCGCCTTTATTGCAAGATCAGCTCCTGCTCACCCCTGCAAAACACACATTTTGTGGCCTCATCTTGCTCAGAGCCTCAGGCGGCGCAGTCACCCATAATGAGGGTGTTTCCCAACAAAAGCCTGTCACCTACCGATGAGACAATGGTTTCACAGGACAAAACTGGTCACGATAACAATGCTGATAAGTTTGCACAATAACCCGAAGATAGACGGATCCGAATTGCCGCTGATTGCACTAACTTAGTCACACTTGAAGGCAGGTGCTCCAAGTGGCTCTTCCTTTTTCTTTTTATTACTTTGACAATCCATACAAAAAAATAGCTTAACTTTTCTGCACAGTTAACTCTTTCAGTCCCGAGTTTGCACAATTTGAATAGTGTTTTCTGGGAGAAAACTTTTAGCATCCCAGCACAAATAAATAAGTTAAGATGGTATTTTCTGCCCTCCACTTTCCTCATCACGAAGTGCGACAGGAACTGACTGCTCTCCAGCCTACAGAAAAAACAGAGTGTGAGAACTGCTGATTTCCCTCTGAGCAACAGCCGAGTGAGAGAAGCAGGAGCTGCAGAACGCAAACGCAGGGCAGGGAGAGTCAGGCAGGGAAGTGTCAGAATCTGAGCTATTGATGATTCTGAGATTGTAGAAAGTCTCTGTCTGTCAGCCCCGCTACCAAAGCAGAAGCCATAATTGGTCTGTGCTGGTTCCAAGGTTGTTTATTCTGTTTATCTCTCACATGTTCTGCTGCCCTGCCCAGCTCTGTCCTGCAGGGCAGCGTGTGGGGCTCTGCCCTCAGTGGGATGTGACAAACATTAAATACCAGAAACTCCCTGGGCTGGATTTACAATAACGTGCCAATATCTGTCACCTACGTTGGACAGTGTGTCCCCAGCCTGAACCAACAGAAAAATGCCAACACCACAGTGAAACATGGAGGGTGTGAAGAAGGAGAAAAAGGACAAGGCACACCCAATTTCCTCCATCTTGTCCCCTTTGAAACCCTATTCTAGAATCCTACAATTTTCTTTTTGCACCCGTGCCACACTTAATTATTACTTATATCAAACACTCCGAGCTGGTAACTCATCCTGCAAGATTGAAAACTCTTTTCCATGGCCAGAGATCACAGCCAGTGTCTCTGGGGCTCTGTCCAGGGGGGTTCCTGACCCCTGCCAGGGTCCCAGACCCTCCAGGGCAGCCAGAGGGATGCTCTGGGTTCCCACAGGGAAGGTTTGACTTTGCCCTCCCTCGGCAGGTGGGTGCAGAGATGTCTGCAGAGAAGCAGCGCCCCGAGGTGCCCATGGTCATGTACGAGCCGCGGCACCGAGCGGAGCCCTCGGCCCCGGCGCTGGGCCAGGACGGTGAGCGGGGCTGGGAAGGGGCTCGGGGGGATCCTTGGCTCGCTGGGGGTTGGCTTCCAGCACGGCACCGAGCACGTCTGGGGTCCAGCCTTGCCGGGATGTGATGGGTTTGGAAAGTGTCTGTGCCAGCATATAAAACCCAGGCTTGGGATAGGGTCTCCTAATAGGAACATCATTAAAATGGTTCTGTGCCTTTCAGCACAGCAAGTTTAAAATTCTCAGCATTCACAGTTCCAGCTAATGGCAATAAATATTTTGTTTGTTTAGTTAATATTAAAAACAAACAAACAAACACGTGGTTTATTGCAGTTGTACCGCTACAATAATTTCACATCCCTAACGTGCAAATGTTCATCCAACAAACTCTGTACGTGGATGGGCTTTGTGCTGCTTAAATTGTCATCTAGTTTTACAGAGGACTGGCCTTTTCCCTACCATCCCTGCTGGCCAGGCTGCCCTCCCAGGCTCCTCCAGGGATGAGCAGCCCTGCCCAGGGCAGCGCTGACAGCTCAGCTCCAGGGCACCAGTGCTGCTCTCTGGCTGGGCTTTTCCTCCTGAGCCCAGGCACTGCTCTCACACCTCCACAAGCACCTGGCAGCACTCCCCATCCTCAGCGATTGTACCTTCCTTACCTTCCTGCTGCTGAGGAAATTGCCATTTTCTGGACAGGACTGGAGGAAAAATCCAAATGGGAGATCAGGCAGTAACTAATAGGGCTCGATGTGTCACCTGTGACTCGTTTTCAGAGCATTTCACTCTGATCAGCTCTCTCTGTAAATATTTTTGTCTTCCACAATCTCTCTGGCCTGTTTCTAAGCTCAGCAGAGCTCTCAGAGAAGGAGCCTGACCTGTGAGCACCCAGCCGAGGCACAGGCACTGCCATCCAGCTTGTCCTTGGGCAGGAAGCAGTGATGGGAACTCACTTGTACTAAGCACATTCTTTTTCTAAATCAGAAGGAAATTATTTAGTTTTTCATTGTTTTAAATTTTTTTTCCCCCTAGAAATAACACCCCCTAAAAAACAACCAAAAAAAAACAAACAGAAAACTCTTCAAAACCAAAAACCACCCCACCACCATGAAACCTAAATGCCATTGCAAATCTTTACCACTTCTGGCAAGCCATTCAAGACAATATTGCTTTGCCACTATATTTTAGATCACTCTGGAAAATTCTGGTTTTATATTCCATTTGCACCCCTGTGGGCTCATTCCCTGGCTGCACCCACATGGTTTGTGAAAAGCTTGAGCACAGGCTGGACTCCCAGCTCAGGGCTGCTCTGCCTGAGGGTGAGAGTTTCTCCAGCGCTGCCCAGGCTTGACCAGCCAAGATTTCTCTAAGGGACTGTCCTCCTGTCCCAGAGCAGTCCTGTGTTTGGTACCACATCCATGCCAGCTGGCTGTAAAGCTTTTTATATTGATTTATTTTGAATGTATTCATGAACGTATTCCTTTAATGCAGTCATTTATTTCACCTCAGGTAGGCTGATTGCATTCTTAATTTGAAAGATTAGCAAAAGAACTGAAAAAGCTTGAGGTGTCTTAGTCACCAGCTTCCCTTCTTCCAAAGCACAAGGAAAAAGATATTTTAACTTTTTTTGAAACAGAGTATAATGAAATATCTTTGTTGAAAGCTGATAAAGTTTAAACTAGTAAAAAGGCTCTAAATACTAAATAGTAAGGGTAATTACCACTGAAAGTAGAAGTACTGTGGTTCCTTTATCAGTGGAGTCCTTAAATTAAAATTGAGTATCATGAGAGTGTTATGCTGGAATGAATGATGGAGCTGCTGCCTTTCCTAAGAAATTATTTGGTTTCTCAGCTTTGGTTACAAAAGTGAGGCCAGCAGCCACTGCAGCTCTTCTGGCTTTGAAAACCCAGGAATTGTTTCCGTGGCTGTTCTCCCTGTGCTGGATTTGCACTCCCTGTGAGGCCCCTCTTTTGGGAACCAGAAGCTGTTGGCAGTTTCACATTTTTGCACTGTTTTTCTTTGCACAGGGGGCTATGAGTATCCTTCTCCCCCACCTTACTCCTACCGAGAAACCACGGTCATCGAGGAGCCCGGTAAGCCCAGGGCTGTGACATGGGTTTGGTTTTAGCATCAACAGAGAGGGTGGGAGCTTTCTGACCCAACCACAATCTCATAAGCTGGAAAATTTCCACAGAAATGTCAGAAGATAAACTAATACAAGGAACTCAGACTTGATTTTCCAGCATTAGCCAATCTACAGAAGTACCCATTAAAAAAAAAAACAACAAAAAAAAACCAAACCAAAATGGCCAGAAGCCAGGGCTTTCAGAACAAATAATTTTAAGGCCAGTGTTCCTGTTCTAGTCACCTTTATGATGTGGAGAAGCTCAAAGGACTTGCTGAGGAAAGGCTTTGAAGAACAGTCAGTAACACCTCATACAGAAAGAAAGGAGACATACATTTTTAAATATCCCTAAAACCAGAAGGCACTTGAACTCAGACATGCTCTATCCTGTCTATCTAACAGATACCTTCCCACTCCTCAAGTTTTGCCTCAGGCTACAGTGTGAAGTTGTACCCTAAACTTGTTTTAGGATCCTTAAAATGGTATTTTTTTACTGAAAACATTTCTGAAAAAAATATCCTTCATGTACCTACAAGGGGTGTGCCCCTCAGGGAATATGATAGTCAAGTCTAGCCTGCAAAAACATGAGCTAGAGACTAACTGAGGACAGCACCAGCAGCTGTTTGAGGGCATTTAGATGTAAGAGTAACTGCTTTGATGAATTTCTCATAACTACTGAAAAGTTGATCCAAAAAGTTCCCCAACCTCCTTCAAATCTCTTCTTCAGGGAGAACAAGCGTTTTCATATAATTTTAAGTATCAGAAGACAAATCTTCAGTGTCAGAGTACATCCAGCAGAGGGTGTGGGGACTGCCTGCCTGGGGATTATCCCACAGACAATTCCCTGTGTATGTCCTTGTTCAAATAAACACTGGCTGGTTTTAGGTGCAATGTACTGGGATACACAGAACAACCAGCACAGTGGCTTTAGAAATTCACCTGAAATCAACAATAATAACATGGATGCCACATTAAGAACCCACATTCTCCCAGTTAAGGCTTTATAACTTGCAAAATATTTCCCCTGCTTCTAATGTGGCTGCTTCTCCTTTCCTCCTGAACTCAGTTTATTTGGTGCCCCAGCCTCCCATCATCGTCGCAGGGATCTTCTCCAGCAAACCAACATCCACAATCTGTCCTTCCTGCCGCCAGCACATCACCACCCAGGTCACCTACAGACTGGGCAAGCTGTCCTACCTCCTGTGCACCAGCCTGTGCATGGTCGGGTAAGTTTTCATGGGCACTGTGCAGATTCAGCACAGCAGAAGGCTAAAAATGAGTAATTAAAAAATCAAAGTTCTGGTTAGTGCCTATACAGACAGTTTGCCCTTCTCCACTTGATGAGAAGCCATCCTGTCCTTTCTAGATACAGTCATCATGGCTACAGGGGATGCAAACTTGCTAAATTTAACTCAGTATGCTTCACTTTTCATAAGACAAGCAGAAATTAGTACAGCGTTGTCTACTTCCCAACTGCAATTTGGAATCAGGCTCAGAAACAGACTCATGCATAAGACGTCAGAAGCAAAGATTAATTTTTTGGGAGATACTTTAAACATTAATAGACTTGTGAAAGAAGTGGATTCACGCAGTGAAAAGGCAGGCAGAACAAGGCAGGGGAATATCACAGCTGTGGCCAGCAGAAAAGGGAAGCAGTAATCATTCTGTGCATGTCCATCCCCCCTTTGGCTCTAGGTGCTGCTTCGGATGCTGCTTCGTCCCCCTCTTCGTGAAGATCTTCAAGGATGCAGATCATTACTGCCCATGCTGCCATTTTCACATTTATAGATACAAAAGACTATAGAAACAAAGTTTGTGCAATCAGATGATGTAAAGCTTCCATTTCCTAATGGCATAAGATTCTGCACATAAAACTACTGCTAGGAAACTCACAGGACTATGCTTAGGTTCTGCAGCTCCCTTGCAGGTGAACCCACCTGGTGAACTCTAGTTTACCACCACATGGTTGCACTGGCTTTAAAACAAAAAAACACTTCAAGAATAATTTGCACTATCATTTAATTTATGCTCTATTTGATTCGCTGGCCTGTGCTGCGAAGTTTTCAGCTGGTGAGTTCTTCAGCTCCTCTCAAATCTCCCACCCAGCCGGGACACAGACTCCTCTGGACCTCTCAGCCCACCACAAACCAAGGTTTGGACGTGGACATTTCAGAGAAGCTCTTACCTTCTCTGCACTGGAACTGCCTGGCTGGGATTTCATTTCTCTCTGCTCTTCTCCTGACAGGATCTACCCCTGCAGGGCTGTGGGTGGCACAGTGTAGCTGATTATTTATTAACAAAACACTAATTTATGAAACTGTCTTTACTCTGTTATGTATGAGGTAAAAAAATAAACCTGCCTTTGTTCACAATACTGGCAATTCTGCTGTCTGCATTGCTGCCATGTTGCACCCAGAGCAGAGATGCAGGTCACTGGGACATCCCTTTTACATTAAGAAGCTACAATGCAAAAGGCAAAGACACAAAGAAGAAAAATCAGCAAACAAAACTTGAAAAAAGTTACCACAACATAAGGCCTATATTTTACCTCTTGGCCTTCTCACTGCAGTGCATCATCTCCCAAAGCAGGGAGACTTTACAGAACTTAATAGTTCCTTATCTTCGGCAATCAAATATCTGCAATTACAATGGCCAGGAGGTGCCCAGATCCCTCTCAACACTGACAGTAGCAGCAGCTGCTCAGCTTATTGCTGGCTGGAAAAATAATCAGAGAAGAAACTCGTGTATTTCCATGTTATACCATCCTGAATACTTTCCCATTGGCACACGCGTTGCTGAGGGCAGGGGGGATGCAGGGCAGCGGCACCGGGGCTGCACTGCCGGCCACGCAAACAGCTCCTGATCCAAATCCTGCCGGCGCTGGGACCACGCTCCCTGTCCCTGGTGTGTCCCTGTCCCTGTGCAGTGTCCCTGTCCCTGTGCAGTGTCCCTGTGCAGTGTCCCTGTCCCGGTGTCCCTGTCCCTGCTGTGTCCCTGTCCCTGCTGTGTCCCTGTCCCTGTGCAGTGTCCCTGTCCCGGTGTCCCTGTCCCTGCTGTGTCCCTGTCCCTGTGCAGTGTCCCTGTGCAGTGTCCCTGTCCCTGTGCAGTGTCCCTGTCCCTGTGCAGTGTCCCTGTCCCTGCTGTGTCCCTGTCCCTGTGCAGTGTCCCTGTCCCTGTGCAGTGTCCCTGTCCCTGTGCAGTGTCCCTGTCCCGGTGTCCCTGTCCCTGGTGTGTCCCTGTCCCTGTCCGGTCACTCACTGACCGGG